GAGAAGCTGGATATTGCCCATCTAATTTTTTCATCGTCTACAATGTGTTTGGCAGTTTGCCAATCATAGACAGATGGATTGTATTCTTCCTCTGCCCAGTCCGCCACGTCTGTGATGACCTGATCAGGGAAGTGTGTTGACAGCAGAAGTTTGATGCTATCTTCGAGGTTGGCAGTTTTTGTGCCATCCTCTTTGATTAGCGCACCAATGCTTCGGTGTGAATCTTTTGAGAGAGCTTTTTGAAGCCTCGCTGCTTGCGGGAAATCTTCGATTTCTTCGGAGTAGTATCTCCAGGCATCTCTCTGTTTTTGTCTGATAATTTTTTTGTATTCTCTGAGGTGAGATTTGTAACTATGTGGTTAAATTTTAACCTACATCTCTATTCTATACAAATATGACGAAATAAGAAATGGGATTATTTTAACCAAATTTTTACTGAATGAATCACTGTAAAGATGCCATTACACGGCGTGTGGAGTGCCGCGCCCGGCGCGTGGAGTGTCGTTTCACGCGCCATGAGAATGGTCCGGCGTGCCGATTTCCGCGCGGCGTGCCATGTCCCGTCTATTGTCGGTAAAATTTGCACACTTCAGACGAAAAGTGGACGAGGGGACATATTCAAATGAAGATCAGTGACCCGCGGGTTGCGCGGCTCGAAGCTTGTCAATCCACACGCCGTGTGATCGCGATCGTTCAAACGCGCATCGGCGCGGCACCAACACTCCACGCGCCGGGCGCGGCACTCCACACGCCGTGTAATGGCATCTTAACGTTTATTTATTTAAATACAACACTGACACACTAATTTACATTGACAATATTTATTTTAACATAACGATATCTTAACTAGAACTGAGCTCAAACTGCAAATATTAGACTATATACAAATGAGACTCTCCAGACTTGCTCTTGAATATTCCAGACGTCCTTCGACTAAAAATCACTGCGTTTGGTACTGGACTCGCCACCAGAATTGGTGTTTCTAGATGATTCGCCAACATTCATAGACGATCCAGTTTATTCTAGAATGTACGATCCACTTTGACTGATGACGAGTATGAGTAAAGATTTCACAGGTTGACTTATTTGTTCGAAATTATATAGTTGCCCTATCTTCGAAAATACGATGTAATTGCCATTTAAACCTATATAACAGGCACTCAGTATAGCATGCTGCTCTATGTATTAATGTATACTATAAAGTATAAAGCTATAGTATGTCTGCATAAAATGGGGAATCTGCATTTTCCTATTTGTTCGGTGAAATGAAATCAAATAAAATAAATGTGTTATAATAAAATAGATATAAATTCATTGACATTTAAAACAAACATTTTTCTCGGTCCAACACAATACCAGTATAATTTTAATTATTTTTTAACGGATATATTTTTTATTTGGTGTTACTTTATTGATGCGTTTGTCATTTTTCAAATAGAGGTAAAAGCGCTTTGAATTTTTCACGTTTTCGATAAATTCGTAAAATGAACAATTTTCATTTAATCTGATCTCTGGCGATAAATAAATACCAATTTTCCAACAAATTACTAAATTATTGAAATATCACCACTAAAAATTGTTGATTTTTTACGTAAAAAATGTTTTCTTTTGGAGTTTATGTGCACTAAATAAATCAATTAAAACAGCTAATGGCCAATATTTGTTAACAGTTAACAAAATATTAATGATTTAAAATGCCATATCAAAAAAAATATTTATAATTTTGTCTAAATAAGTATATCTACTTTATTTATGATTTAAAATTATTGTTAAATAATTGTAGATAGTATATTAATGTTTTGGGGGCAACATAATTTTATAGAAACTATTTAAATGTATATACCTTCTCAAGTAATGCAAAGGCACTTTTTCTTTACATCAAATTCAAATAATATGGTTGATCGTAGTCGGTTGATCCATTTCCCGATCCTCATTTGTAAAGTGACAATTGCAAAATAATTGATGTCTCTCTGAATGGATAATATTCTAAAGTAGTCTTAGACAGTGATGCTGACTTGCAGAAAAAAAATCCTTTGAGGGATACACAATTTAACTTTTGTTAGTTCCTAAACCTAATTTTAATTTTTTTATTTTTACTATTTATGTACAACTTGTGTATTATTTATTTCCTATTTGCGTACTTTGTGAACTATTTGTACTATTTTTGTACTATTTGGGGCACATTGTGTACTACTGTACAACATTTTCTCCGTGGTTCACCTCTAGGTTATCACCCATATTTTTATGATAGTGGCTTTTCTCAAATTACTGGAAATCTGCCCGTTACCCAACAGAATTAATTCTAATAAGACATTTTTTAAACATCTTTTTTTTTATTGTAAGCTACAAACAGAAACTACCTACACGAAGTCAAATCAAGCAGGAAAAATTAAATAAAATAAGAAACCGCTTATTTTTCTAGCCAAGAAAAATGTCGCAAGCAGAATCAAAAAGAAAATATATAAAACTTCAGTTATTTACAAGTTTGTATTATAAATTTTTGCTCGAAGTTACTGTAACATTATGGTAATGTTGAAAAAAAAAACTACAAACTTTCAACTTCTTTCCTTTGTCATTTTCTTCACTAAAAGTTTATAATCCAACTGTATTAGAATACATAACGATAGTTCTATATTTGTTCGAAAAATTATTTTTCAATTAGGTTTGTATACAGGATGACACCTACTAAAACTACTTAATATATCCTTACGCAACATTTTAATTCAATTTCCTATACTTCTAGTTGAATAATAATCGATAATTTTACATCATGAACTTTACTAATAGCTGATATTTGAAATATTTGGATAGTGCTATGCAACTAATAATCAGTCAAACTTTTTTCTACAACGAAGTTACTTCTTTCCAGTGTCTCCAGGAACTGTAAATTTTTTGGTTATCCTCTTTCCTATTTTTAAAATTATATTTTTCAGATATTTTCTTTATTTTCTCCAATCAACTTATAGCTTAATTCCAAGTTGATATTTTTTAAACTGTGTATAGAAGTCATTAAAATAACACTTTTTCAAGAAAACTCAAAAATAAGCAACTTACATTAATTTATTCCAACATGTAACCAATACGATTCTGTTTAAGTTAAATAATGTGTAGAACTTTCGTCGAAAACACATTCAGCCGTTCTAAGAAACATTCAAAAAAATGAACTCTACAGGGGAAATCTTCAAGTTGTAGTGCTTGAACAAGGGATTTTTCTGCAATGTTGTCCACACTTTTCTTTGACTTAATATCACCTGATCTTTCTCGATAATATTTTAGATGTGTTCTTCTAAACGCACCTCATTTTCAATTTACCACTGAACAATTTAAATTCACTACTTTAGATGGATCCGCGACTGAATTACAATAATCAGTACATAATGAACCAAAATTCATAAAAAAAAAAACAAAAACCAAACAACAAACAAAAAAACAGACAAAAAACAAAAAAGCAAAAAAAAAACAAAAAAAAAAACAAAAAAACTAAAAAAACCAAAAAACAAAAAAAAACAAAAAAAACAGAAAAAATAGAAAAAACAGAAAAACAGAAAAAAACAGAAAAAACAGAAAAAACAGAAAAAACAGAAAAAACAGAAAAAACAGAAAAAACAGAAAAAACAGAAAAAACAGAAAAAACAGAAAAAACAGAAAAAACAGAAAAAACAGAAAAAACAGAAAAAACAGAAAAAACAGAAAAAACAGAAAAAACAGAAAAAACAGAAAAAAAAGAAAAAACAGAAAAAACAGAAAAAACAGAAAAAACAGAAAAAACAGAAAAAACAGAAAAAACAGAAAAAACAGAAAAAACAGAAAAAACAGAAAAAACAGAAAAAACAGAAAAAACAGAAAAAACAGAAAAAACAAAAAAAACAGAAAAAACAGAAAAAACAGAAAAAACAGAAAAAAACAGAAAAAACAGAAAAACAAAAAAACAGAAAAAAACAGAAAAAACAAAAAAAAAAACAGAAAAAAAAACAGAAAAAATAGAAAAAATAGAAAAAATAGAAAAAATAGAAAAAATAGAAAAAATAGAAAAAACAGAAAAAAAAACAGAAAAAAACAGAAAAAACAGAAAAAACAGAAAAAACAAAAAAAACAGAAAAAACAGAAAAAACAAAAAAAAAAACAGAAAAAACGGAAAAAAACAAAAAAAAAAACAGAAAATCTGTGAACTAAACTAGTGAGATACATATCGTAAAATGTTTTCACACTTAATTCTCCATATGAACCTTTCTAAGTGTATTTCACAGCACATTCCAAAGTATTTTTGCACTCACTAATGTCCTATCCTCATGGCTGCTTTTGCATGTCCAAGTTTACTAAAAAATAATATGTTTTAATAATGTCTCGAAATAAGTATCAAACATAAATTTTTCGAGACATTCTTTATTACCAACTGTAAACTAATTTACCAATAGACTTATTTTTATTTAATACCTGTAGTGATTCAAATTATCATAACATCTAATATTTTTGAAAATACTAAATTATACAAACAAGGCAATAAAAAAATGTCATTAAAATAAAGGATTTCTGGTTTGTATGCAACAAACGATCTTGGTTAGGGGGTAACACGATTGATAATTGCAGGCAAACATAACTTTATATAGGTAAACTCTTTAAATGTACATACCGTTTCTTAGGAAAAATTTCTCATCGAGTTAACTGGTTAATCCATTTTTCCGATTCAGACTTTTAAAGTGAAAAACCATAGTAATGCTGAAATTTATATTTAAGTGAGATATTTTGACCAAATGATGTTTCCATGATAGATCTTAATCTATTTAAGAAAATTCTAATTATTTTTTTTAATTAATTAAATTAACGAATCTAAAATAATAAAAGTTTTAAAAATCCATTAATATCTGTAAATGTTTTAGCTTGATCTAACCTGTAAGTTGCCTTAATTTAAATTTAAATTAAACTTCGGAACAGTATTATCTTGTCGGAGTAGCGTAATTTATAATTTTAATGGAATTTTTCTAATTTGTATCATTTTCTTTCAGAAAATTTTCTCCAAGCACCCAGATTCACGACGTCATCTTCGAGTAGCAGTATCATTAGGTTGGGAACGACGAAAATTGTGCAATGTCAGGCATTCGGTGAGTAAATTTGTTTTTCTATGATCACTATATAAAGTAGGCTCACTGCAAAATTGACGTTTTTCTCGAACTGACATTAAGTGACTGCTTTGTTGCTCTGCCCAATGAAGTTGGGAGGTTTAGAATGGTAACTGTCAATGTGTATAGGTAGTGTAGAGATGTAAATATATTCTTTCTCTTTCCGGCACAACAAAGGGACTGGTAAATCGACACCTGCAAGCAAAGCCCAGGGACGGACCTAATAAGTTGTATGTTACGCTTTAATTTAAGATTGTTTATTGTATATTTCAAGTGGAATGTTATATGCATTTAAAAATGATCACATTATTCGCATAATTTCCTAACTTAGATTATTTAATAAATGTCACTAAATTTAGTTTTAAAGGCCAAATTAATCCGAAATAAATATTCGTGATTTATAATCAAAATCGCCATGAAACTATATTATTTTCATCTACTATTTATTTCATTTAATTAAAGTATTTAAATATTTCATTGAATATTAAAAATCGATGTAGGATGTTACGAAAAATGCTTGAAAAACTGTTATTTGTGTCCTCTTATAATAAAAAATTTAAATGATTTTGAAATGTATTAGTCTGGATTTAGTTTCTAAAGTGATTAAAGCACGCAAGCCTTCTCACCACGCGTCAAGGTTACATTCTTAGAGAAGGAAAACAGGAACAATAGCATGTTCAAAATAACGTGAACCAACAGATACGTGGTTACGTTTAATAACGTAAAAATATAACGAAAATGGAAAATCAAATATCATCAATACTATCAAGTACACTATTGGACCATAATTCTTGAGATATACCTCCAACAACTTCTCTGATAACATCTAAAATGCCTTCAGAAAAGGTAGGATTAACATTTTTTTTCTGACCTCCCTTTTGATGTTATTCCAAATTAATCCTATCGCAATAATACGGTGGTAAGCGTATTATGGCATGACCGAATGCCGTAGCCATCTCATCCACGGGATAGCTAGGTTTGAGATTTAAGCCTTTCAATATTGCAAGCAAATCTTTTTTTTTTTAAGCAGTAGGTGGATATGATACGCCTATTTTGCCCAAAAACGCGGGATTACCTCTTTTCGAGCTTTTGCTTTTGGAATCTTTACTAGTTTGACTAGAGAGGTAGAGGCATTATCCATTACTATTATAGCATTTGGTGGCAAATTAGGAATTAATTGTTCACCAAACCATTTCTCGAACAAGGTAGATGTCATATCCGTACCGGCATGTAATATTATAATACGTTTTTCTCTACTTGGAGGAGCATTTACAGAACATTTAGCATACTGATCACTCTATCCTTTTTTTCACAATTAGTGCTGGGCATAATGGGGCCATTCGTTTCCAAAATTGTTTTAATTCGTAATTTTTTTTTTAAATGTCCGGAAGGCTTTCCTGATTATAAAAGTGTAAGATGACACTCGATATCTGTTGATGTTATTGTTTAAACAACGAAAAATTAATTAAGCCAGAAAAAATGCATTTTTTGCAATGAATTATTTTTTTTATATTCTTTAGGATATTTCGAATAAAAAAAGTCCTTACGCCCATTATCGTATCTTCAACCCTTTAATTGTTATGAATGTTTTAAAATCCGAAATTGACGAAAATTCTAATTTTCTTGAATTAAATAATATACCTTAAAATTTAAAATACTATAATTTTAAATTTTTTACCGAATATTGAAACTATAATAAACAAAATAACCTAAATAAATTTTCTAAATTTTGTTTGTTGTTATGTTTTTTTTACGTTATAACAATATGATTCCTACGCGCGTGTACTTTTAGAAAGAAGTACTTCTATCTCACTTCCAACTCAATGTATAAGATGGGTAAGAGAAAGCCCGATGACGCGCTGAATCAATTTTTTGTTGTTTTACAGAGGTAATAAGTTTAAAAAAATTATTATTAACATTTTTCATAACACTTTGTTATATTTGCCGATTAATAGTTTTGAATCATGTGATTTTTTTTTTACTTTTTTAGATACTTTTGATAACTTTTTTATTTATTAAACATCAACAGATATCGAGTGTCATCTTACACTTTTATAATCAGGAAAGCCTTCCGTGCATTTAAAAAAAAAATACGCATTAAAACAATTTTGCAAACGAATGCGCCAGTATGCTCTGGTCTAAATATCATAAGTGTCTTACCAAGTCTCATCAAGATACACTATGAATCTAGTTTGCCGACGAGCTTCCTTTATTATAGTAAGATATTTATTGCGTAAAATCATAATTCTTTGAGATTTTATAATATGCTGTTTTATTTAAGGTACGATATCTAAAATCCAAAGAATGGAGCACTTTTCTAGTGATTTCGCGACACAATATCATTAGAATAAAAGCTATTAACATTTTAAATGTAAGTAATCATAATACATGTTGAGATGACAGAAAGGATATAATTTAAAATATTATATCATCAAAACATAAACAGCTTGAATAAAAACAGATGAATTAAAAATACTATTTAGTCAAATAAATTGTGAGTATAATTCTTACAGAATCATTTAAAATTCTCGATACTACTTTGTTCCAATTGCCATGTTATGAGATGGTATATAATGATGGGGAATTTAACAAAAAGAATGGGGTAGTGGTTTATTTAAAAAAAAAAACATTGGATTATACTTATACAAATATCTTTATTGGTTATTATAAAGCTTTGCAGATAAATATATGTATTGAAAAACATAAAAATATAATTATAACTAGTTTATATAGGTCTCTAGGACATTTTTTTAGATGAACTCGAACAAACCAAATAGTTACAGGTCTTTTCTCATCTTTTGGTAGGTGATTAATGATTAACAAAAATACGAGACTAATATCTGAGGGTTCAGGTAACTGTCTTTATCATATTTTTATGAAAAATAAAATTCCAGGTTTCGAATTTGGATGTATCTCAATGGTATTTGAAATAGGTTTACCTATTCAAATTTTAAAAATTCCAGATAATTCTAATAAAAATGTATGTTTAACAAATTATGAAAACTTGAGAAATGATTTAAATCATTATGATTGAACTAATTTTCATAACACAACAGATGTTGATACTTTGGTTCGTGAGTTATTTCATTATTGAAGGAATTAGTAACAAAAAATACTTTTATCAAAAAAATAAAAAATGTAACATTAAACGCAAGCAATGGATTACTGCAGGTATTGTAAATTCAGTCAATGAGAAAAATAGATTATATCATATCTTTAAATTAAATCCAGAAAATGAACAAAAAAAAGCATCTACCTTGATTATAAGAAAAACTGGCAAAAATTGATAGGAAACTCAAAAAGTATTTATTTTAAAAACCTAATCAATATTAACAAGAACACTTCAAAAAATGTATGGAATGTCGTTAAAAATATTTGTGTAAATGACAACAAAAAAGAACTGAAAGAGATAGTTACCACTAAAAAAGTCACTTGTAACACCCCTGAAACCATAATGATTTTTTTATTAATATTGGGGAATCGTATGCTAAAAATATTACAAAACCAAATACACCCTTACCACTCACTGAGATAAACCCAAAATCTCTTTTATTTTGCGTCCTGTAGGTATATACTAATGAAATTCTTGACATTATCAGGTCTCTAAAAAATAAAAAATCTCCAGGATTTGATAACATAAAAACAGAAATTTTCAAAGAAACTGCTGATTTAATAGTACAACCAATTTGTCATATAAATAAAGTTCCAGATGAATTTAAAATCGCAGTTGTAACCCCTATACATAAGGTGGAGTAAAAAATATAAATAATTACGGGCCAATCTCAGTTATAACTGGCTAAAATATTCGAAAAAGCTTTAAAAAATAGAGTATCTACATTTTTTAACAATTATTGTAACATCATATCAGAAAATCAAATTGGATTAAGAGAAGGTTTATCAACAAATGATGGCATAGGAAAACTTGTTTATGAAATTAAAAATGTTTGGAAATAAATAAACCTGTATTATGCGTTTTTTCTTGATCTGGCCAAGGCCTTCGACACTGTGAGCCATACACAGCCATACACAGAAGCTTATAAACATTTTTTGCAGATTATTTAACAAGTTATAAAAATAGACAAGACATTTAGCAAAGAAAAAATAGTTAACTACGGTTTACCACAAAGAACTATTTTGGGACCAATTTTGTTTACATTGTATATTAATAATATTCTTACATCAGCTTCTAGTGGGCAATTATTTAGTTTTGCAGACGACACCGCCGTTTTATATACCGACAGTGATTGGGACCGTCTAAAAATCAAAGCAGAAAGAGATTTATCTAAAGTTTTTGATTGGTTTAAACCCAAATTACTAACTGTAAATTATGAAAAAACCTTTTTTATGCTTTTTTCAAATAATTGTAGATGTCTCCCTACGTATCAGTCTTTAACTATTCAAAATAATATAGAAATAAATCATTAAAATCTAATAGCAGTCATAAATATTTAGGAGTTACTATGGACTCACAATTAAGGTGGGATATACATATTGAAAATATAACTAAACTTCTAAGACAACTTCTATACCGTTTTAAATATTAAAAAAAATGTTTAGACCAAAAACACTTAAAAATACTGTACTATTCTTTAGTTAAATCAAGACTTCGTTATGCTATACTGAGTTGGGGCGGTGCTACATTTTCCTACCTAAAACAACTTGACATATTTCAAAAACGCATTCTAAAAATAATGTTTAATAAAATACCCACTTACCCATCCAATATGTCATTTTTCGAATCTGGTATACTGGACCTGAGACAGTTGTTTATGCATCAAATTATTATTTACACTTATAATAATAAAAACCTTTTAGAAAAAGTTAGTCATTCATATACAACAAGATATAAAGAAAATGATAATGTAAGAATTGAGTTATTACAAAAAATATTAGTTTACGTTGTTATACTTACCTATCGCGAAAAATTTAGAATGGCTTACCTGAAATTTATAAAGATTATTTACACAAAATAAATTCTATCA